AAAAAAAAAAAAAAAAAAAAATTACTCCCCAGCAGGGGGTGGGGAGAAAACCATTGACTTAGGAGAGACCTCGGCTCGCTTGGCCAACCACCAGGGTCACGTGCGTGTTTTACAAGGCACAGGAATCGGGAAGGGCCGGGCTCACAGCCCTCCATGAGGCCCTCACAGCTAGCAACGTTCAATTTTTTTCCTTTTTTCCTTCTGACCTTAGTGGAATTCTTACCACGGTGGCCTTGCCTTTGGAAAGGTGACTCCACGTTTATCCTGGGGTGTAAAGGATGGATGCGATTACCATTCCCAGTGGAAATTCCAAGGACCAGCCCAGCCTTGCCTTGGGATCCGGAAAGCCTGTAAACACGTTTTGGGGCAGCTGCGGGTGCCACCCAGGCTGCTCTAGTGCAGGGCTGCAGCACGGACAGGGGAGCAGGCTGCTGGTCAGTGACCCACAGCAGAGGCGGTGCCACAGCCAGGGGCAGGGAGACCCCCATCTCTGTCCTCCATCAGCTGAGGCTGAGGCGGAGCTGGCTGCCCCTCGGAGCCCCAGTTCTGCAGCCTCCAGGAGCCGGAGAGCTCCTTTGACTGATCTAAACTTCAGGGCCGCTTGTCGCCCCTCCCCAGACCTGCAGGCGGGGCGTGGGGGAGGTGGCAGGGAGGACAGAAGTGGAGTGGAAGCCTGCTGGCTGCTCTGAACTTCGCAGCAGGCCTTACAACGCGTTCTTCCACGAGGAGGGACCGGTGGCTGGGCTTCCTGAGTGTTAGGAGCCCCTGCCCGGCAGCCGCATGCAGAGGCAGCCAGAGACAAGGACGAGCACTGAGACTGCGTGCGGCCCTCCTGCTGCCCACCCGCAACGGCTCTTTACTGTCCAGTCTAGGGGATGCCCAGAGACAGCTCCGAGGGCTGACCCTCAGAGTTCTGCCATCCACGCTCAGCTTCTTCCTCCAAACACAAGACAGAACAGACTTTGAGTGTGGTGACATCTTTGGTCTGAGAAGTGTCCTGGTTTGGGGCTCCCGGCGGAACGTCAGACAAGAGACAGGCAGGAACGTGGAGTGTGACCTCTGAATGTCAGAGCTGAAGGGTTAACCGCTCCCTCTGGACAAACCTGACTAGTCTGTGGCTGCAGCTCAGAAGCAAGTGGAGAATAACAGCAGAAGGGCCATGGCAGAGAGGTGACACCCGAGAAGGCCCTGGGTGAGTCCCCATGGATCCTGCAATGCCATGTGGAACGGACACAGGACAGATGAAACACCACCGGGAGGGTTTCCAAGCCAGAGCAGCAGCTGTGTGTCGCGTGTGCTTCCATTCCCGTCCGGCGTGCGTACACATGCACCATCTCTGCCCGTGTTCTGGGGGGTCTCTGGAAAAGGCACTTCCCCGCAGCAGCCTGAACACAAGCCCAAATCCATCCAAAGGGCCAGATGCTGCCAGAGCAGGGGGAGAAAGAAAGACACCTTCCAATTGCCCTGGGCAGGCCGGAGAGCAGCACAGGGCCCCAGCCGGAGGAGCAGAGTGGACGGGACGTGGCGGAGGGACAAATCCATACGTCTCAGACAGGAGCAGGCTTTGTCTCCCTCAACCCCCTCACTGGTACCGGACCCTGACAGGCCACCAGCAGGACAGGACGAGCACGGCCGGCACTGACTTCCCTTTTGTCCAGGCTGCCCACAGGCAAGGAGGTGGGTGACTGAGGTCACTGAGTGCGAGTTCACAGCAAGGGGTTCCCGAAGGCAGGCTATTGCTGTTGGCAGGCCCCGAACTTCAGACCTGAGCGGCGTCCTGACCCGCGTGGGGCCGGCAGAGGTGGAGGGATGCCCTGTAGCTGAGCAGGAAGGCCTGGGGGCGCAGCCTCCTCTCCACGGGCAAAAGGGTCTCCATGGCATCTCATGCGGCCACATGCCAGCTAAGCGGTTAAGACTCTCCCGATCTCTTGCTGATTCTGGTGACAGCCTCTGACGCCTGCTCTGGCAGCTGGGACGGGTCTGTCAGGATGGAGGTGGTAGTGCTCAGCTGCCGGAGGGTGTTCAGCACCACTGCAAGACAGAGTGGGGGAGTAAGACACCCACAGAGACACGGACCATGACGCAGTGTGCCTGGCTGCGTACCCCACAGCCCTCTGTGGCAATTCTCGGGCACCAGTGACAGCCACAGGCTCGACTGGAAGAAAACACCAGAAAGGCCCCACGCTGTGGCCTGGGCACTCATGCCTCTGCCTCCAGTTAATGTTCCACGTCCCAGCAGGAGCTATAAACAGGCAGAGGATTCTAAACTTTTCCTGCTGCCACAGGGTTTGCTCCAGCCGATTTACTATGAAGCTCCTATAACCCGAATACGTAGGATTAGCATTGCTACTTATAAGAATTAAAACACCTGATATAGGGCCTAGCAAGCAGTAGGTGCTTGAGAAACGTAAGGTGGTTTGTTGGAACAGACACATTGCTGGTAAGAAGCCTGGGGACCTGCTCCCTGCCTCGCAGTGTGTCCCTGGTGTCACGCTCACGTCCCCAGCATTGCCTGGCTGCTGGCAGTGGAGTCTGCACTTTCCCAGGCATGGCCTCCAGCCCAGGGCCTTCCTCCCTCCAAGACCAGCACGAAGCCCACAGCCCTGGCGCCGCCCCGCTCACTTGGCCTGAGGATGGGCAGGGAGCAGCGCTGGTCCAGCCAGGACAGTGCCGTGCGGTGCAGCTCTTCCAGGCTGTTGGTGGACACCATCCCCTTGAACGACTCAAACAGCGGCTTGATGATGATGCTGAACTGCAGCACTTGGGTTAAAGGAAAGGCAGGTGTGGAGGGGGCCAGGGGACCCCAGAATTGAGGTGGGCCAGGTTTCCTATCGACCTCCCTGGGGCCTGGCAAACCATCGCCCACAGAGAAGTGATAACGGGGGGAGAGAGTGAGAGAGCAAGACCTCCAGGCACAGTGTGTCTTCCACATGACTAAAACCTTTCCACCTAACCATCACTGGACAGCAACTCATGACCACTGAGCAGGCAGGGGCAGGGACACAGAAGTTTCCTTAGTCTGGAATAGGTCCCCGCGGTGATGCAAACACAATGGTTTTTTAATGCACATCAGCAAGAGGTGGCACGAACAGATTGAAAGGCAGAAGCTGTCTGGGTACCATGTACCTTTTGTGCTGAACACAAACATGCCATCTCCCCGCAGCTGTGCAGGTCTCTAGGACATCTTAAGAAACAAGCTCAGTGAGGCAAGAGGTGCATTTTCTTGGGTTTTGGTCCAGGGTGATGCCCACAGCTCCCCCCTCCACCTGATGGTGGGGAATGTACCACTTTACCAAAGCAGCTCTGACTCATTCCAGATGCCACCCAGCCCTGCCAATGACAGGATCAGGACCAGGGCAACAGTAAACAGCAAAGTAGGGGACTAGAGCTGGCACCTGTCATCTTTTCATTTGCAAATCGCCCCTTAGAGCACACAGGCACCCTACCCTGTCCCACCGCCGCGGCTGGGATCCTCTCCCCTGCGTGACTATCTGTCAGACCCACGGCCCATGCTGCAGCCAACCCGCCATGTGCGCTGTTCACTCAGGCAGAAGGGAGGCAGGGCAGGGAGTGGGCGGCCGGAGCCACCCCCTACACTGCCGTGCTGCCACCCGGAAGGCCCGGCATGGCACTCAGGTGGACACACTTCGTCATGGTGTTCCAGGCCACGTGGCACAAATGCAGAGATGAGTCTGAAGGAAGTGGGTTCAAATCCCAGCTCTGCCACCACCACTCAGTGGTTCTGTGAGCCCTGGCTCCTGTCTGTCACAGTGGGGGTGGCACTCACCCTCCCTGTCACTATGTGGACTGAGCCGGCTACCAGGCTACAGCAGACTCACTCCTTCCCCCTTTATAGCTTGTGCAAGTGGCTCTCAAGTGGTTCTAGCATTGTCCCCATTTCCCAAGGGCCCAGAGAGCAAAGCCCACTGTTCTGCCTCCCCAGCCCTTCCTGCAAAGCATCCCAAAGCCCCAGCCCACACTGCCCCAGGACAGACCACTCTCTCCCCTGAGACAGACACTAGCACTTTCTGTTGTGATGAACTCGGTGACAGCCATTTAAAGAGAATATTCCTGAAGGAACTAGAGCGTCACCATCTTCTGTCTCCGTGCACTGGTTGGGGGTAGGAAGAGCAATAAAACTCAAAAGATACAATCCAGAACTTCCAATTCTGCAGGGTCCGGCTTTTCACGTATTCGTCAAACATGTCTCTCATGTGATCAAACTGGCGCCGGGTGACGGGGACTCCCGTGGCAGGGAGCAGCTGCTGGCAGGAGCTGAAACAACAGGAAGAATCAAGGGAAGCTTTGGAGCAGCCGGTGGTAGATGAGGACCCTGGGACACGAGCTGGCAGGGCTGGCCCAGTGCTGGACCACAGCCAGGAAGAAGAAGAGAGGTCTGGGGAAGGAGGAGGATGACAGAAAAGTAAACTCTGCCACAAAGAGGTATCTGTCAGTGACGAGGCCACAAGGTCCCCCTGCCTTGGTAACATGAGACCGTATGGGACGTGGCACCTGCCCAGAGCCTCACATGATGGTGGCATTGAGCTCTTCGATCTCCTCCCGCAGCCGCCGGGCCTCCTCCTGCATCTGGCTCCGCTCCTGCTGCAGCTTGGTGATGTACTCCACCGTCTTCTGCAGCGTGATGGCGTGACTGGTCTGCAGGAGGACAGGTGGCTGGAGGCGGCAGCAACATGGCCGGTGGGCCCCCACCCGGCGCCGCTTGATGCCCCTGCCCCGCCTGGCCCAGCACTCTCAGGCCACCCACCAGCTTGGAGCTGTTGGAGATCAGACTGTTCAGAGTGTCGAAGCCCATCTTGATGTTGAAGCGCCTTTTCTGTTCGGCTGAAATGTGCTTCATCTGACGGTTCTGTTGGGGAACCGACTGGTCACTGAGACACGTGGGCATTGCCGTGGGGTCACGTCACCTGTCCCTCCTCATCTCCCAAGCCGATGCTGAGCGGCTGAGGGCGGATTAGGACCCTGGGGCACCTGATAGGCCAGGGATAGAGAGCTACATAGGAGGAGGGGACAACAAAAAGCTACTGGCTCCAGTGAGGAGCAGGAAGAGGACAGGGCAGGGAACACTAGAAAGTCATTGTTGCAGAAGAGGACACAGTCAAGGCTGGGGGTGGCCGTCAAAGCAGCACTTCTCAGCCAGCCTCAACCTCACCTCTGCCAACCCCAGCCTCCCAGCTGCCACCTTCCCCTACAAGTGATGGGTGTGGAGTTGTACCCACCACGTGAGGAGGATTCAGTGCTGGATCCTGGGCTTGGGGCCCACCCTCCCCACAGGGCTGGTTAGTGGGAAGGGGCGGGGAGGAGCCCATTTAACCCCACGGTTAAAGCAGCAGACCAAGGGCTTCTGACAAGACCCAGCCTAGAGCACCACTAACCGCATCTGTGATTCTGTTTTCCAGACACGTGCTCCCCAAAGGTTCTCTGATGTTCCCCCCGTCCCCTCCACCTTCCAAGGCAATCCAGGCCCAAGAGAGACATGTGATACCTTCAATGCAGCCATGTTTTTGGGGTCTGCGGATTTCCCTGAGCAGTTGTTCTGGGGAGACTGAGGACTGGGGCTTTGTTCTGACGCACATGGAGAGGCCTGTCCTGAGTTGGGGCAGTCCCGGCCTGAGAACAGAGACAGCCTGAGAAGGACACTTGGCCACTCCACCCCACCTCGAGGCAGTCCTTACAAAGGAATCCCTAGTAAGTCCCAAGACTTGGAAAGCCATTGTCATCTCCCATGGCCATCCCAGAGCAAACATTAGAGAAATCTTTGCCAACCACGCTGGCGTCAAGACCAGGCTGGGTGACTTCTGTGGCCACAGCAACCCCCATGCTAATGATTCCTGGAAACGGAACACAAGGACTGCTAGATGCCTTCTCTGGGGACTGGCAGCACCGAGCCAGGACTTTCTGGGAGGTCAGGGTTGGCCTCTTCGTGCACACTGGCTGCCTACGCAGCTGTGTGCCTGCTACTTCTCGCCCCACCAGTGCTGCCCAGGTCACCCTTCATCTATCAAGTATTTCCCCAGCCTCTGCCACCAGCAGGCCTATGAGACCTCGCCGTGTGTCCTGCAGGCACCAGCTCCATTCTGGGGAGCCCTGTGGGCAGCCTCCCCAACCCATGGCAGCCCACTCATTTCCCTCGTGATGTCATGACTGTTCTGCCCTCAGTGAACACTCACTGGGCCCTGCGACAGGGACCTGGGGACTGCCCCCATGCAGTGGGACCTGCTCGCCCTTCACCAGGGAGTCTTGCACTGTGCTTGGAGAGAAGAGCCGGGAGACGGGGCCAGGCTGGCTGCTCGTGCTGTGGCTAAGGTCTGTCACCAGGATGCTGCTGTGGAACTCCGTCACTCCAGGAGCCTGTGGTGACATGGGAGAGAGGTCGTCCCCAACCACGGCTAAGAAGCAGCAGAGCAAGAGACCAGCTACACCAGGGGAGGGTGGCTCTGGGGTGACAAGGACACTGCAAGTCTGCCCAGGGCCCTCCTCACCCTGGCAATGGCAGCAGGCGCGATGACCACGTTGGACTGAGATACAGTAGAAGCCAACATCCCTTCTCTCTTCAGAGGGCCTGATGTCATGATCACTGCTTGTGGTTGGCCTGAGAAGGCAGCTGCTGGGACACAGAGAAGGTGAGGCTGAGGCCCTGGGCCACAGGCCCAGTCTCGACCCCGCAGAGGCCGTGGCTATCACTGAACGGGATGGCCACACTGCAGACGCAGGGCTCCTCAGGAGTGACACCCAGCCCTCTGCCAAGAGACATCGTGTTCCTTGCTAAGGGGACAGAAAACAAAACCACCAGGACCCCTAACACTATTTTTGCAACTTCTCCTTGAGGAAGACAGACCATGGACCAGGACCAGGTGTCTTCAAACTGTGGTTTGAGATTAACTTTAAAAAAAGATATAAAATACAAAATAGACTAGATCATACAAATTCATTATTTCTCGACACTTGTTTCATCTAAGTGTGTGCGTCTGTATGTGTGGCCAGGAAGGGATGGGTGGTCGCAAGTTTGAAGGCTTCTGGGACAGGAAATATTTCTCCATGGGGGGGAAGAGCCCAGGCTGGCCCCTTCCCCTGACTCACCTGGGGCGAGGCAAGCATTCTTCAACACCAAGGACACAGGCTCTGGCTTGGGAGCAGGCACTATTTTGGGAGGCTGTTTGGGCCTCCCTACAGTCACTGATACAGGTTTGGGGGGCACAAAAGTTAACCGAGGCTGGGAAGGCCCAATGGCTGGAGGCCGGGTGACAGGAGACAGTGCCAAGCTGCAGGGGGCCGTGGATGGGGCAGGGTGATGGGTCGTGATCACGAGGCCCTGACTCTGGCTGAAGGTGGCAGAGGCGTCGTGGGTGAGGGTAGCAGAGGCTGTGTGGGTGATGACGGAGGGTGACTTGCTGACTCCAGCAAATTTCTGTGGCTGAAGGAAGGCAGGTGGAGCCGGGGGGCTCAGAGTGGTAGCAGGGGGAGGAACCAATGGCAGCGCTGGGGACACAGGTGCCGGGGCAGGGCTGGGGGACAGCAGGGGCATGGTGAAAACCGGGAGGAAGGGCTGCGGGACGCTCGGTGGTGGCTCTGAGGGGCCGAAGTCTGTGGGCTGGATAAAGGGGTCCCTGGTCTGGGAGGTGTGTTCACAGGCCTGCCCATCAGCAGGGTCCAGGGAGGGGGCCGTAGGGGGCACGATGAGGCTGTCGGGAAGGCTCACAGTGGGAAGCGTGGTGGTCGGCAGGATGCTCTCCTGAGAAAGGAAAAAGAGAAGCCAGGAAGCCATACTGGGCTGAGAAGATTCGCTTTCACTGTCCAGCACCTCGCACTGCAAAGCCCAACGACCCACCCCGGTGCCTGGACACAGGGACAAAGGTGATGTCTCCCGTGCCCACTACTGCTGATCTGGGGAGACGGATCTGCGTCTCCCTGGGCATCTGCAGGGGTTTTGTTTCCACTAGGAACTAAATGATCACACAGAGCTCAGACAAAGGAGCTGCCTCCATGCAGCTGGACAGCAGCCTGGGAATATCTTGTTTCTAGAGTCCAGCAGAGGTCCCCCCAAAGTCTCTGCCATCTTCTGTTACAGGGCAGAGGCAGCCTGGATCGCAGCTGCTTGGGGTTCCCCCAGGGCAGTTTCACGTATCAACTTCTAGCCAGGCCTCCTCTTTCCAAATGGGAAAAGCTATAAGCCATCAATTGTCTGCATCTCAGTCTCCACAGAAGAAATTCTTCCCAGAGCCAGTCTGAAGAAGACGGTGCCAGGTTACCGGTATCTGACTGGGTATGGGCACCTGTCTGAGAGCTCCACAGGGGCGAAGAACTGTGCCCTGTTCAGCTCTGTAGCCCCCGCACCTGAACCTGTAACCAACTTTTTTGTAAAGTAAAAAGTGAAAGAACTATACAGAACTTACTTTTATTAATGATCCATGTTTTTCTTCTTTGTCTAGCTAATCCTGTCTTAACTGATCAGAACGAAGCCAGCTGCACATAGGTCACCTGGAGGCTCAGGCAGGAGCACCTGCATCCTGGCAGCGTCCTGCCTCATGGATGTCTGAGGATGCTTTCGGAGAGAGCTGAACTAGCCTCCGCACGTTACCTGTGTGCCCAGCACGGGTCCAGCGATGCCCAGCATTTTGCATGTGACACACGGTCATACACCAGCCCTGTGCCTGCTGGCCCCTCCCCCGCCCCTCCCCCAGGGTGCTCTACCTGTGCAGGTGGGCTGTTGGGATCCGGTACAGATACTGAGGCAGGTGCAGGCAGCAGGGAGTTAAAAATGGAGCGGCTGGAAGAGAAGAGGTCTGAAAAACAATATCAGGGGTCTTTGGAGTGCCACATTCCCGGGGATTAAGACCCAAACAAATTGAGCACTGAACCCCACATCAGCCAGAGGGATGCCATGGCCAAAGGGCATTCCCCGCAGAGATAACTTTTTTCTGTGGAAAGAAGCCCTCTGATCAGAACCACGCATGCCGGCAGCTGGCTTGGGCTCTGAAACATGCCCACCCTAGTCTCAGCTGCTCTTACAATACAGGGCCCAAGGACCCGCCACCTGCAGGAACCTGTGCGGGAGGTGGCTGTGCCGCCAGCGCCCTCTGCTGCTGAGACGGAGAACCGCTCACAGTCACAGCAAACCCGAGGCTCCAAGCCAGTGAGAACCCTCCTGAGAATGCCAATTTCCTTCAAGAGAGAACACATTCTGGAAAAACTTCCCAGACCTTGCAGTTACTACAAAAAAAAAATTTAGTTTTTGAAAAATTCTAAGTCCTCCCCGTTGCCCATTCTAACTTCTCTCTCAGAAAGGAAAGCACCCATCTGCTCTGTGCGGCAAAGGGAGACACAAAGTCAGGCTCACTCTGCCGCCCATCCTCACCCTGGAAAGGCTCAAAAGTATCCATGAAGTCCAGGTTGGGCTGCAAAGGAATGAGTCCCGGCTGGATCATGTCTGCATTTCCCAGATGTGCTGCAAGAAGCAGAGAGAGAGCGATCGTTTTGTTTTCTCAGACAACGTTGCAAGAACATATTACATAAAAGGCCTGGAACAGATCTTCTGGGCCCTGCTCACATTCTAGAGTCTTCCAAGGAGAACTGTAGGCAGCTGGCTGGGATTCTACCTTCTTACAGGTTCATGGCCATTCTGCACCCTCAGAAGGCAGGAAAGAAAGTGATTTTTACAAGAAAAGTAAATTGAGTATCAGGAAATGGACATCCCTAGGAAGCTGTGACTAGCTGGGCAGAGACCCCCGCCCCCCGACCCCGTCTACTCTGTGATCTGCGGGCTCATCCCTGAGGGGCCAACTGGAAGGCTGAATGCTGTCGGATAAGAGGTCATGCCTACGAGTGCTTCTTTAGAGAAAATCAGGGTCCTGCCACCTAGGCTTAGGCACTTGTCCCCCACTAAGGGGACAGTATCAGAAATATGAAACTGATTCAGACCAGACCTCCCTGCTGTTTTGTTATCGTGGTACCGAGGGAATGGCAGAGGCCCCAGTGAAAATCAATCTGCAGCCCAACCCTACTCAATGCATATGGCCTGAGATGCCACACGAGGCTAGCCAGTCCTCCTCACTTACTCTGTCTGCACAGTGACATGCGGCAGCTCGGAGACGGCCCTGAGGCGAAGCCTGGCCCCGAGGGGGTGTGGCAGAGAAGGCAGCTGGCTAGGTGTTCCATAGCCGGGACCCAGGTGTGCCTTACCTATTTCCCGTGGGTTGGGCCAGGCCACGGGCTGGTGAGAAGAGAGCGTGGAGAAGAGGGTGTCGCTGAATTCTGACATGAGCATGTCCGTGTCCAGCAGGGGGTCCTCCTCCATGGGGACTGGGGTCTTCCACCCATCCCCATGCTTGTCCCAATACAGCATGTCATCATCCTACCACCAACACAGTGGGAGGGAGAGTCAAAAGGCAACAGTGAACTCAGAATTCCCAAGCCCATCATGCTGGGAAACACGTCACGACGACTGCTTGTGGGAATGAGGCGATGGGTGCAGAATGCAGAAAGCAGCTCCCTCCAGCCCACCCTGTGGAGAGAGCTGGACTGCTTCCTCAGCCATTCATAGGACCTTCCGGGGAGAAGGGAGCTGGCCCCATCTCCAGCCTTGGGGAGGGGGGGTCTGTGTCCTGCCACTTCCTGCTGCAGTGCTCACTGGTGGGCCACCAGGACTCCCGTGGGGGTTCTCATGGCCCCCAAGCTCACTCACCTGGGCCAGGCTGGAGAGGTCCTCATCCTTGTGCTGCTGTAGCTGTGGGCAAAAGCGGGGCAGGTCAGGTTAGTCACCCAGGCCCTGGGAGGGGATGTGGCCCCAGCCTCACCTCCCTGGGAGGGAGGGAGGGATCCCGCTCCCTGCCATCCCTGGTCTGATACCAGCACAAAGAAGATTCCCACCCAGTGTGTGTGGAATCAACAGCCCAGTTCACAGATGGGGAAATGAGAGTAAAGACGACACGACCAAACAGGCGGTCGCTTGCGCAGGGCTGGAACCCCAGGTCCTAGCTTTCCTATTGGACGCCACGTGCCCACATGGGTAGCATGGTGCCCACGGCCTCTGGCCTGTGTTCTGAATACGGACTCTGCTCCTTCCCTCCCCTGGGGGCCTTCTCGAACACACTCCTGTGAGGGCCCAGCAGATACCCTTTTCTTGAAGTAGGTCCTCCACTTGTGATACTCCCTGATCACGATCTCGATGCGGCTTTTCCAGTACTTCCCTTCTGTGGTGATGGCCTGTAACAGAGACACGGGCAGAATCAAAAGAGATGTCCTTGCTTGATTAGCAAGACTCACCCATGAACAAAGAAGAGAGACACAGACAGGAGAACTGGGCCTCAGGCATTCTGGCTCAGAAACCCCTATCCTGTGGCTACACCTTCACTCACAAAGTACATCCCATCTCCTCTGTGCCACAACTGGCCCCTAGCTAAAAATGCACTTTCCAGACCTAAGGTAGCCAAGGGGGCTTCGGGGCTCAGATCCTGAGGCTCCGCACAGGAGCACGGTGGGGGAAAGCAGAGAGCCGTCACTTTCAACGGGTAAAAACAAAGAGCCAATCACAGGAAGGTTCAGGTGCAACGTGACCTCCAAGAGCATTAATTCAACCTTCCCATGATGCCTGGCATAAACGCCTTCTACCACAGCCTGGAAGAGCACAAGGGACCAGGAAGCCACCTGCCTGACAGCTACCTCACTGTCAGATCTTAAGGCTCATGTCATTTTACCCAGGGTCCTTGGGCCCTGCCTTGTAAGAGCAGCTGAGACTAGGGTGGGCATGTTTCAGAGCCCAATACTTCACTGTGTGCCCTGAACAATGAAGAATCTTTAAAAACAAAACAAAAACAGGATTACAATATTATCATACCCAAAAAAATGATATTCCTTGATACTTTCTTAATATCAGATCATGTCCCACCGTCTCAAAACTTTCTTTAGATTACTTTCTCTTTTCTCTTTCTGTGTAACATTAAAACAAGCTTTGACAGAATTGAAACAATGCGGAAAGAGCATAGAGTGAAGAGAGTCTTCCTTTCTTGTCTGGCGCCCCGCTCCAATCCCACCACTGAATGATTTCTGTATATCCTTCTAGACATTTCCCATGCACGTGTAATCACACAGACACACGCTTTTAAAATTAACATAAAGATACTAAAGGCTGCTGTGCCACTGGCTTTTTTCATTTATTCTTTTTTTTTCTTTTTTTGAGCAGAGTCTCGCTCTGTCGCTCCAGCTAGACTGCAGAGGCGTCATCATAACTCACTACAACCTCCAACTCCTAGGCTCAAGCGATCCTCCTGCCTCAGCATCCTGAGTAGCTGGACTACAGGCGCGCACCATCGCACGCGGTCCCTCAATTACTCTTTCTTAACCTCTTTTCATCTCAGTTTTTAAAGATCTTGAGGTCCTTCTTCAATTGTTAAAAATGTGTGCCTTATAAGGAGCCAGAACTTCTCCCTATTGACTTCCAGAAGAAACACCAATTTTAAGTGAAAGTGGAGGGTAAGTCTCCATTATTGAATCCCTCGGTCCTTGGGCCAGCTCATCTGAGAAGGGAGACCTCTAAAGCCTGGGGGCTGTTAGAAGCCACCTGCCCCCCATGCCTGTCCTTTCTCCAGGCTGTCCTGTCAGGGCCGCACAGGCCCGGCACTGTCCCCGCAGTCTCCCTGCAGGATCCAGCCCTCGGTGAGCTGTCCCTGTTGAAATGAGGTTAGTTTTCCTTTCTCGGCCATCCTTGATCACCTGCCAAATACCTCTGGCCGGCGGTGCTCATCCACATCAACAGAGCCATCCAGGGGAGTGACGAAGTGACACACGGGGTTCTTGCGCTTTTCCAGATCTGGACAGGGAGAGGGTGAGACGTCATTACTACAATCCAGACCCCCGAAGGAGCCTGCTCTGTCTGTCCACATCCCCCGGGTGGGACCTTCCCAAGGGCTCTTTCCTCTCCTTCCCTTGGAAAACTGGAGATTTCCAGGGAAATAAAGGAGTCCAGGGTAAAGGGAAAGAATGTGTCAATAATGCACGAGCAAGAAAGGGAACCTGGCTCATCAAGAGGAAGGCCAGCCCAGCACAAGCACGCCCCAGCCCCTCCTCTCCTGGAGAAATCCCTGGGGCCACCAGCACCTGTGCTGGAGCCAGGAGGGCAAGGCTGCACTTGCACCTCCTCAGACCCGTTCCCAACTCTTCAGAAGTCACCTCTCTGCTCCACCCTTCCTGACTCCCCTTCCCAACTCCGGCCCAGTCGTCTAGGATGACACTGAGCACATACACTGTGGGCAACTGTCTCACATGTCAGTCTCCTCCAGACCCTGGCAGCTTCTCAACAGAGGCCACTTTGTTGGCCCAAATTGGGCCCGAGGGCTGGTAGTATCCAGTTCCCTAGGGTTTGGCTTGGGTTTCCTACTCCACGGACTGCACAGAGACTTCTGCTAGAAACACGGTGTCCCAAGGGCAGGCTCTGGGCCCGCAGTCCCGTCCTGCTCCTGGCACTTACACTGCATGTACCAAGCCCGCCAGATGGCGTTGTTGAGCCGGATCTTGTCTCTCCACTGGAGCTTCAGGCCTTTGAAATTCTTCCACTTTGGAGACACTAACTTCCCACTGAAAGGCAAGACAAAGCGGGAGACTCAGTGGTGCCTCTGAAAATGAGGTGAAATGACGATGTGCCGCCCAATCATTCTAGGCCCCCAAAGTCCTGACTGACCCATCACTAGCCACGGGCTAGGCTTGGTGGAATGTAGGAGTCGCCCAGGGATTGCTTCAGAGCGATGTGGCGGAGACAGTGTCAGGTTATGGAAGAAACGGGATCGTCCACAGGGTGCGACTGCTGGAGTGTAGATGATATGTGGGGTTCTGTACTCTTTTGTCTACTTTTGCATACCTTTAAAATTTTCCACAATTAAAAATTAAAAAGAAACCCGCTAACCACCAAATGAAGACCTGACCCTGGCCTGCCTCCTCTGCCACCAAATCCCGAGAGGCGTTCACAATCCAGGCACATGTCCTGCTAGCCCGAGTGCTCTCCGGGCCCTTCCTGGCTCCGAGAGCCTCGAAAATGTGCTGCTTACTCCTGATGGCACCCCGTCCACCTGGCCACCAGCTCGTCCTTCCAGACGCTGCTCCCACACCATCTCCTCTTGAGCCAGTGCTGGCCCTCTCTCAGGCGGTGGCCGTTCCACCTCCGGGACAGCACATTCGCACGGCAACGTCTGCACACATGCACCTTCCCACGCGACACTGAAGCTTCTCTAGGGAGGGACCCTTCAGGTATTTTGGCACGTAGCAGGGGCTCGTCTAACAATTCTTCATTGAGTAAGTTAAGAGCACTTGCAAACCAAGCTGGTAACAAGCAAGGAAAGCTCCCTGGTGGCACAGCCTTCTTGGGCAATTCAGTTTTCCAAGGGCTATGCCAGGAGACATCTCTGAGCAGCTGGCCTAAGGTCTCTCCCTTTCTGATGGCTCGAGAAGGGCAAGGCACTATTTTTGGTCCATGTCAAAGCGGGTTTCAGGGTTTTACCTGACCACAGGCCACAGCCCTGGCTCATTCTCCAATCCCACTCAGAAAGGCCACATGCTGGGCAGGGATATGCCAACAACAGTTACAGTCTTCAAAGGAAGCTCCCAAACAATAAACATAAAGTGAACCTAAAACCTGGTCTGTAAAGCAAGAGCCCTGGCTAAAGTCTCACGCCTACCCCCACCAAACCCAGCAAGAAGCCAAGGCTTTGGATAATATGGGCCAGAAGGCTGTGACCTCCAGAGAAAATGTCACAGCACACCCTCTCGGCATATGAGGTACACACAGCCAGCAGCTGTCTCTGTCCAAAGGGTAGAGGGGCCTCAAAGTCACACACACACCCCTTCTTCCTTCTCTCCCCAGTTGAAAGGCACGTCTAACCCACCTCCATGCTAACTGGTCGGCCTCACCTACGTCCAGTAGTCAGAGCTGCGGCGGCTCAAGCTGCTACCGCATTACCACATGCCAGCAAAATCCGAATTAACACCCCCTCCTCCAGTGCGTGGACAGGAGTTAAATGAGAGCACGCGTGTATATGTGCAGGATATACATGCAGATACACACACAACTGGTAAACCCTAAAGCAAACATAGATATTAATAACCACCTCAATTATCTAGATTTACGTTATCACTGAAAAGTGATTTTTTAACACCACCATGTGACTTAAGAAGTCCTTTCCTTGATGTCTGCCACGTTGCCATTTGGCTCCTGCTCACTCACGTGGAAAAAGGGGACACCATGTGCCCCGTCAATACCAGCAGACAGAGACGCAGGGAGAGGCCAGCCCGCTCGCCACCTGGAGCCCTGCGTCGCTGCAGAGCTGAGGGCTTCCTGAGTGCTTCTCATTCACTCTGTCGACGAGCACTAAGCGCCTGCTCTGTGCTGTCAAGAGCTAAGAACTGAAGAAAGGGACAGAGAAGGCAGCTGAGGCGCCCCAGGGGCTGAGGCACACGTGCCCACATGCCAAGCGTCGGGAGGGCAGAGGGCTGTGGGCATGAGGCGGCACAACCAAGCCAGCCGGGCAGTCAGGAGAGGATAGGAAAGCTGGCTCAGCCAAGGAGGGAAGGCAAGGCCCACGCTTTTCCTTCTGCCTGGCCTGTGGTGGCCCCGGTGAGCAGGAACTCGGCCTGGTCGAGGCAGCAAAAGCCCCTGGTATGGTCTGACCTGGGATTGGGGGTGGACAATGCCAGACGGCAGACGGTGTCCCGGAGGATGCTGGCTCCCACCTCTGCACAAAGCCAGCCCTCTTTCCCTGTCTCTGCTAGATCGTCCAGCCATTCGATGCCGGCCAAGCAGGTGGTTCTAGGAAACGAAACTGTCCTCTCTTTTTATTTCCCTAAGGGGAAAAAACACCCAAAATAACCAAAACACTCCGCTTTACTTATACTTGACACATCGTCCTCACACCGAAGCCCAGAATCCCAGGGCTGCTTTCTCCGTGTGTTCAGCAGGACCAGATCCTGACCGAGCGTTTGCTGCCCGCCATGGTGGCTGCAGAGGAGCCAAGCAGAAGGGACGTGCTGGGAATTGTGCTTAGAAATAACCACTGCGCTTAAACGCAAACCCAACCTCACCTCTCTGTGTTACTGAAGAAAAAGGGGCCAGTGTGAGCACAGAGCATCTTCCCAGAGGAGCCAGATTATACCAAACAGCTTCAATTACGCACAACGCAGGAAACAGGAAGACGCAGAGAAATTAAACCTTATAGGCTAGAAACCAAATCTAACAGGCTTTGGTTTGAGGATTCCCATCTTCTTCCTCCCCACTTGCAGAAATGTTTGCCTCTTCCTTGATGTCTATGTCAAATACAGTCAAACTTCAGCACGAATACGCAGATTTCAGAACTCCTAACTGGTCTCATACCATCACCCCAGGATTCTATATCTCAAGAGCCAACAGGTGGCGCTCAACAAACACAAAGAAGCGCGTCCAAATCCAAACCAAAACCTCAACCAACCCAGGGAGGCAGAAGGGACCATAGCCCCCTCCGCCCCACTCCCCGGTCCCCTACACCTGTGTAGTTGCTTCAAGCCAAGATCCAAGGAAGCAACACGCGTGGTTCTATGACGTCAAGGTGTTACAAAGAGGAAGGGATACGCCTAGACAAATTACCCTAGCAAATGCTGGGGTAGGTTTCTGTAAATTTCTTTTCCTCATGGGCTTCTTAGAGCCTTCAAGTTGCTAATATGTGATGTCGATTTCCAAGGAGGGAAAGAGAAGACATTTCCTATGCAGACATCCACAAGGACACGAAGTCTAGTTTTCCACAAAACACACTGGGAAAAGTCCCACAAGGGAACCCACAGCAGTGGAGGACAGCTCTCCTGGGCAGCACACAGGCGGCACCCCAGAGAGCGTCGAGGGTCGGACTCCAGCTCCCCTAGCCCTGCCCAGCTGAACTCATCTTCCAGACGTTGTTGACTGGGATGCTTCTTAGTCTAACTCAGAATTGTGCCATACTCCTTCTTTAAGCACAACCAGAAACACACTGTGAACATTTCTCTGAGATCACCGGCTTCCCCAATACTCACGAGTCCTCTTCCAGCCTCAGCCTCCCAGGCCATCTACCTGTGGGGTTCCTGGGGCCACCCGAGCCAGCTAACCCTCTCCTTCCTACTCCGTAGCAAGGCCAAGGTCTAGGGCTGGCTCACTTCGGGGATGTGAGCACAGTGCTTGGCACATGGGAGGTGCTTTTAAATAAAGAATAATTAAATATATGCTAAACTTTTCCATGAAGAACAATCTTCACACCACCCTGCCGTGGCTGCCCTTCCTAGAAGACAGGTTCTCGACATGAAACAGGAAATTTTCAGTACAACAAAGGTCTCTCTCAAAACTTCTTGGATCAAACTAGCAAACTATGAATTCTTCAGAGGTCTGGCAAGAGACTGCTTTGGAATGGAAGGAAATTAAACTGCAAGCCTTGCACAGACCAAGTCGGAATTAAGAAGAAAAGGGGCAGGAAGAGAAGGGGCAGGGCAGGATCAGGTTACGGATTCTGGGTTCTGCTGGTCCCGGGTAGGATTAGCTCCTGACTCCTGTTCAGGCCACTATCTCTAAAAGAAAGCAGGCAGGGGGCTCTGGTCTGAGAACACTGGTGTCATCCATCCAACCATATTTGTTTGATGTGGGCAACACTTATTCGCCATTCCTGATGTTTCCTGGAGGGATATCCATCAGCAAAACATCCCCAGCCTGCCTCTTCCTCACTCCCCTGCAGACAGGTAGAACGGGGTATGCCACTCGTGTTGGAGGAGACCTGGGCAGGGGTGGGTAGGCACCACCCCTCCTCTCCTCTGGGGAGCAAGCTGCCCATAGTCCTCCCACGCAGCTCCTGGGGAGAAGGGGTGAGGTGGAAAGTCAGTCTGAGCTTCACTTACAAGCTACATCCTTAGCTTGATTAACAATAAAGATTAACACTTTGGCCACTATCTTCTGGCTTTTTCAAATTGTGGTAAAATTACATATAACATAAAATTTACCTTTTTTTCATGTAGAGACAGGGTCTTTCTCTGCCACCCAGGCTAGAGTATAGTAGTACAATCATAGCTCACTATAACCTCAAACTCCTGGGCTCAATTCTCCCACCTCAGCCTCCCAAGTAGCTGGGTCAACAGACACACACCACCACACCCAGGTAGTTTTTCAATTTTTTGTAGAGACAGGGTCTTGCTGTGTTGTCCCAGCTGGTCTCGAACTCCTGGCCTAAAGGGATCTTCCCACCTCTGCCACCCAAAGTGCTGGGATTACAGGTGTGAGCCACTATGCTCGGCCCCATTTTAACATAGACAATTCAGTGCTATTAAGCACATTCACAATGTTGTACAACCATCACCACTACCTAGCTCCAGAACTTTCTTTGATCACTCCCAAAAGGAAACTCTGTACCCACTAGCAGTCACTCCCCATTACCTCCTCACCCCAGCCCCTGGCAACCACCAATCTGCTTTCTGTCTCTACGTATTTGTCTCTTCTGGACATTTCATATAATATGTGGCTCTTGGTGTCTGACCTCTTTCCCTTAGCATAATATTTTATGGCTCACCTACACTGTAACAGTTTTAGAACTTCGTTCCTTTTT